CGAAAAGAAAACGGCAGAGACATGCTGAAGAGCATTGTTCGCTTTCCTTCTGAACTCCAGATCAAATCATCAGTGATCAATGAAGTACCGGGTAGCAGATATGCTTGGGGCTGTTCAACTCAAGAATCTACTATGAGCAAGTGAAGAGTAATTAGTGTCCTCTTTCTATGATGAGTTATCAGGGGATGAATTTTTAACAGAAATACAAAGACTTAGAAGACACTAAAGGCAGCTGATATTGAATTTCACAAATTCAAGGACTGGTCAGTATTTGATGTTTTGAAATTCATAGATGAAATGGAATGGGACTTCCTAGAATCTCTTCAAATACTCTCGCTAAGCCTTCAATTGCTTCTTACGATCTTTGTGTGTGTTGCTTCATGTGAGCTGAGCTTTTTTCAAAACTGAGGCTTATCAAGACCTATTTAAGACCCACCATTGGACAGTCAAGGCTTTCTGATCTGGCTTTACTATCAATTGAAAGTTACTCTGTGAAGTATATTGAATTTGATCAAGTGATTGACAGGCTTACAACTTCGAAGACCAGGAAAGGAAAATTTTAATAAATGAATTTAATATAAAAAAAATAATATAACTTAAAAAGCTCTTACTTCTTCTTCTTCCATATTACGATCAACGTATTGATTATTCTGACTCCTATAAATTCTTAAATACAGTTCTCAAATACATTTAACTCCTGACTTTTAATTAAATTTGTTTTTGTTCTTGTCATTATTATTCTGTGTACTTATTTTAAAAATAACAAATACATCTTGGAAGTAAAGGGAGGGGGGGGGGGTGAAACCAACCCTAGCTACGCCACTGCACTTATGTGCATGGAAAATGACGTCCTTAAGGCCATTGACTTTAAACCAATAATAAAACAATACTCTTATTTCAAGCTTCCACATACCTCGTTTCGCTATTTCATTCATCTACTAAGCTTGAAAGCAGTCCTTTCATTTATATTAACGAATTTCAAAATATCTTAATATTTCATATTTGGTTTCGGCTTCGGTTTCGGCAGAAATTCATTTTTAACGTTCGGCCTTTTTTTCGGTTTTGGCCGAAAGTCATTCTTAAACTTTCGGCCTATTTTCGGCTCCGGCCGAAAACAGAAAATCACTTTCGGTCGGTCTCTAACTTCGTCCCTGTCTAGGGAAATGTACGCACTTCGTCGTAAAACGCCACAGGTCGGGATATTTCCTGACCGTTCATGGACGCTGGACCGGTGATGCGAAAATAGGGACTTCCTATGTAAACCGGTACGCCTGGTAACCGTAATTTAATTGGCACTACGACAAGGGATCACCAAGTCTGTCTATAGAATAGAGTTTCAATTTCGACGATATTTCTCTATTTCTTGGGGTTTCCTTGATTCCACCTTCCTTGCGTTTGGGTTTGCCCTGGTGCTATTCGATTCTACGAACTTTGCTCATGACATAACCTACTTCTGATATGCAAGTCTCAGTGTTTTGGAATGATTGCCTGTCCTGACTGGCGTCCCAATTATTTAGCAGAGAAGACTACTCTGTAATTTGAGATGTCAGCTCGGTGATGAAGATCTCAACGCTATTATTAGGTTGTCTGCTCTTCGATGGCGGTGTCTCTTTGTGGAGGAGTTGTCTACTCTGTGATGGAGATGTCTGTGGATCCTCAAGAGACATTTACGTAAACGTCCAGGTTCTCAGTTGATTTACTGGACATCTTACATGCATTCTGGTCTTTAGATAGACAAGAGCACACAAGACCACGGGGGTAGGAAGAGGGGGGTGGGGTGGTGGTGCAGAGGTGGACTACTCATGGTGGCATATTTTGGGGGAGGCATTTTCGGTCCACTGCATCTTCTAAACATTGCTTATAATAATGTGTATTCTTTATGTTTTGTTGTTTTTTTTAATAGGGAAAGGGGGTCACAGTCTTTAGCTACTCCACCGTAATATTAGTTACTACACTGCTAAAAAAGACGTCATGATTTTTAAAGGTTGATGAAGATAAACGGGATGGCTGATCTCTAACATGCATCATTGCTAAAGTTAAGTTCGTAGACACCATATTTATTTTTACTTGGATCTGAAAGTTTAACTGCATACATAATTTCATAACATGAAAACAATGATCTACCAAAATTCGACAGAATAATAATAATAGTGGCATGTGGGTTAGCCAATGTTGCCTACCGACCTTAAAATTTACCATACAAACTTTACATAAATGAAGGCGAATTCCGTCTAAGTAAGTTTCTTCATCTAAAATTAAATCCCTTCACAAGTGAAGCTTTATTTGACTTATCTTCATTTTGTGATTGTGATTGTTTAACATAATTTTAATGGTATCTTCAACAAATATATAAGAATGAGCTATGCTGACCGAAACGCAACACCCCCCCCAAAAAAAAAAAAAAAAAAAAACAAAAAAACAAAAACAAAAAACAAACAAAAAAAAAAAAAAAAAAAAAAACCTAACTTGTAGACATAAAAAAAACCCTAACTTGTGGACATAAAAAAAACCTAACTAGTAGACATAAAAAAAAAACAAAATAGAAAACATAAAAAAAAAAAAAAAAATAAAAAAAAAAAAAAAAAAAAAAAAAAAAAAAAAAAAAAAAAAAAAAAAAAAAAACAAAAAAAAAAAAAAAAAAAAAAAAAAAAAAAAAAAAAAAAAAAAAAAAAAAAAAAAAAAAAAAAAAAAAAATAAAAAAAAAAAAAAAAAAAAAAAAAAAACAAACAACAACAAAAAAAAAAAAACAAAAAACGACCAAAAAAAAAACAAAAAAAAAAAACAAAAAAAAAACAAAAAAAAAAAAAACGAAAAGATTTAAATACATTCGGATTATTAAAAACTATCAGAACTATTTTTCTATTATTTTACGGAAATCGAATAAATTTAAAGGCGCAAAAAATATTATATATCCGCTTTTGTTTTAGTAACACTTAAGTAAATACAAATACATTTAAAGTAAAAACTAATAGGTACTATCTTAAGCATTTTATATGCGTTTGAAAGTCATTAAAAATATATTTTTAAAAAAATATGTTCAAAGATTACACCGTAATCACATTTATCGAGAAAACCAAAACATCAGTTGTTTTTAGTGCGTTTGTTAGTGCGTTGTTAATATTGCGAAATAAAATTACAATTAATTTGTTCTAAATAAACACGCAATTGACGTAATAGCGTAAATCGCCTATTTTAGCCAAAAACTCTAAAGTTTATTTGATTTAAAACCGCGTGTTACAAAAATGATAATTTATTTTCCCCTTCTTAGTTAAAAGTGAAATTAATAAATATAATTGATTCCTTTTTAAATTGGTAATAATACACACACACATTTTAGCTTTATATTTTTAAGATTTAATAAGTTTTTACTATTTTTAAACTCCAAAAATATACTTTTATTAAATTAATAACGTAATCAAAATTTAACCTTTAAATATATTTCTAATGAGAAAATGCAGTTTAAGTCAATCAGTGCAGCGAAACTCCTTAGCCAAATAGCATTCACTAATCCACATATAAATCATCCCAATAAGAACAAACCATATGAGTGTAAAATATATTAGTTTGGGTATAGAAGGGACTACAATCCGTTGGAAGATTTTATTAATTATATTTAAATGGGGTGGGGGGTATGTTCATTTTGCCCCAGGCAGCACAAGATACTTCTCGAAATAAAGAAATGAATAATTGGGTACATACATATCTGAGGTGGGAAATAGGATGTACATTTTTACGTTTATAACAATATATTTAAATCCTGTGGTATGCATTCTCTTTTTAGAAATAAAAATATGTTTACCAATTAAGAAAATCAATGGCGTTAACAAAACGTGGGTAAATTTATATAAGTATACCCATGAATATCAAAACCAAATAATTTTAAAAACTTCAAATTTAATTTTGAAAAATGGAGTTGGGTTAATATTTTCTTTAAAAAAAAAAAAGAAAATATATATATATTTTTTTTTACTTTGCGAAAAGTAAAGTGGGTGTGTATTTTTATGAGATTAACAATTAAGAGAAAGAATCAAAAGGCAATTCAGTCTATTAAAGACGTGAAAACGGTTGCGAGATTCTTCTTTAGATAAAATAATTTTTTGTTTTACGATTTTTTGATAATGTATAATTAAAAAAAAAAATGCAAAAGTTTTTAAATTTTTTTTTAATGAAGATGTTATCAAATTCCTTTTATTTATATAAAATATAGATTTTTAAATGTAAATTTAAGAGTATGTTTTCACAATTTTTAGAGAAAAAAAGGTATAGCTCAAGGGCAGAAAAGGGGTAAATCTAAAGTATTTCTGTAGCGTAGAAATCCCTCAATTAACTTCTTTAGTTACAAAAGTGATATAATTAGTGATACTTTAGATTGGGTAATTTAAGGTCATGTTTAGGGGCGTGAAAGGGAGTTGGGTCAGGGTTCACGTATAATATATAGGAGATAAATAATAATAATAATTATAAATAGCCTACTTCTCAAAACTTAATGATGTTAGAAACGTAAATATCAATACATAGAATAGAGTCATGGGCGCCCGCAGAAAACTTTCTAGGTGGGGGGCAAAAAAAGCGATTAACTTTCCAGGGGGGGGGCAAAAATGTTTAGTAATGTTTTAATGTAGTTTTAATTTACTGTAGCGTATTTGTATGGTGAACGAACGGACAGGACATCAGCTTAGTTACTTCTCTTTATTTTCTCTTTACTTTAATTTTTTTTTCTTCTATTTTTGTCTAAAATTTTTTTATCCAATCAATCCAGGGGGGAGGGCAAGTGCCCCACCTTGCCCCTACCTGCGGGTGCCCATGAATAGAGTATTCTTTTTAAAGTTAGGAATTGTGATGAATTTTTGCACTAGCGGGTAGAAATTATCGCAAAGGACCTACCATTATCATGCCGATAACATCGGGTCATTTATTCTAGTTAAGTCTAAGTATAAATAAAGCTTGTGATTTGCGACTCTTTGCCCCGGAAACCGAAAGAGTTAAAAAAAAGTTGAAAGGGTTGTTTGTAAACACGGTCATTTCGGAATCTTCTGATATAGATGTCACGTTTCGTTCAAGAAAAGCTGAAATAATGTCTACATTTTCCCTGGTTAATGTCAATGATGTTTTACCGTATCAGTATCGAATAGCCTTAGTCTCAGACTGGCCTAGGCCTAAGTTCTAAGCATAATTAATGATAATTTAGCATAAACTAAACTCATCAATATCATACTGGTATTCTCATTAATTAAAATTCATATTCTCAAGATATCAGTATCAGTCACAGATATTAAAAATCATATTTAAACTTATAATTATAAGTTAATTTTAATTTTAACTTTACATTAATACCTAATACTAATATTATTACTATTACTTAATAAATAATAATAATACCAAATTAGGTGATATTAAGGAGGGATGCCAAGGCGTCTTTTGTGGGTTTATTATAGTTGCAGTGAATTAGGGACTTAGGTTGAGGGATCGATTTAGGGTTCAGGTTAGGCATAGGGCATAGGGATCGATTTATTTAGGGTTCAGGTTAGGCATAGCGACATAGGGATCCATTTATGATTTAGGGTTAGGGTTAGGCATAGGGATCGATTTAGGGTTCAGTTTAGGCATACATAGGGATCGATTTAGGGATACATTCGTGAAATTCGATAAAAATGTTGCATTCGACTCGTCCTTAAAAATTACCCCAAATTATTATACTTCCATAATGTTTGAGTATAGTAGTAGTAGTAATATTAATTAGTTAAGTAAGAATATTACTCAGTCATAGTCAGTTTCAGTTAGGCTCTACTAAACTAGTAGTTGCTATTAGTATTAGGAGGTAGTAGGCTCTACAAAGGACCATTCATATCATTGTCATACTCGTATTTTAGTTTATTTTAAGTTAGTACAGTTAGTTAGTAAAGCCTACAGACCGCCAACGCCTAATACTAGTGTGACTAGTATTTGACTTCGGACTTAGGCTTAGGACTTAGTACTAGCCTACTGTCCTACTACTTTAAACTTTAACTTTACTTTGACTTTAGACTTTAGGCATGATTAAGCTTATATTACTACCATCCAAATTATTTTTGATTTATTAATTCATAATCATTAATAATAATCAATCTGGTTCTGGTTGAAGTTGTAATCATGCCATGTCCTCCATGTCCATGTGGTAGTATAGTTTAGTATAATTAATATAATAATAGTAGTATATTCTATACCAGGCCTGCCCAACTCAAAATGTAAGGCGGGCCGTAATACTTTATTAAAAACTTGTGCGGGCCGTAATACTTTATGAAAAGCTTGTGCGGGCCGAAAGATGATTGGACAGGGGGAAAGCTATTAAGAAAATAATAATAATAAAGAATATTTTGTTACTTCCCGGGCTGCCAAGTGGGTGCGGGCGGGCCACATGCGGCCTGCGGGGTGTATGTTGTGCAGGCCTGGTCTATACTATAGTCCATGCCATGTCACAACGGACGCAAAATAAAATTAAAGACATTGAGTTGATTTTGATGTTTTTGAATTAACGTTCAAATAGGGCCTATTAAAATAAGACTAAGTAGTAAGCCTACTGTAGTCTACATGTGTACTCAAAATTTCTGTTTTGTGATTCCAACTAAGTATTAGACTACTAGTTGAAATTAGGACTTAGATAAATTGTCTTCTTGAGTCTTGTTACTTAGTAAGATCGAATATCATTATATAGACAATTTATTATTATATAGGGTATGACCACGAAGGATAAAAATATTTATTTTCAGTGAGAGAAGAGCAAATGGATTGGATTATATTTTCATAGTATGATTTGTGTTTGTCAAAGTTTGGCTAATTAGGCCTGACATGATTTAGATAAGAGGAAAGAAATTTTTCAGATTAAAAGTCTAAAAAGTATAAAAGTTATTTTAAAAACTATAATATTGTGTCTGAGTCTGTTTTAATTAGTCCAACTCAACTTACTGGATTTAGGGTTAGAAACAACATATATGATTTTGGATCCAACCCAAAATGGAAAAAAGTAGGCGGCAACCATGGGCAAACCACTCTGTTCAACAAAAATTTGGACATACCCCATAGTCTATAGTATAATTCAATTAGTAACTAGTATAAGTATGTAAAGTCAAAAGTACTAAAAATGTGTGTCATTGGAAAAAATAGGCTTGTCTTAATAAATCCAGGCTTAAATAACTTTTTTAGAAGTCAAGTTTTAAGTGTGCCTACAAATTCAATTAATTAATCTACAGATGCCACCATAAGGAAGATGCACCCAATTGTGTTAAGAAGATTTAAACAGATAATTAAATCTGTAAAATGTAAGAACTTTTGACAGCTTTGAATGCATGTATCCACGCCTATGTATGTGGCGTATTTTACTAATTTCTCAGTACATCTATCTCTTACTAATAATAATATTAGTTTTTTTTAACTAATACTGTAATTGCTGTCATTTTATTCTTTATAAATATGAATAACTTAAAGGCCTACATTTACCACATTACAATGATTTGGTTTTATTTGTTAGACCCACGATTTCTTCCGCATCTGTCCATTTGGCATTTGTATAGCAATAACTATAAGGCCATCCATAATGACATCACAATTATATTGGCTGATTTTTTTTTACCCCCCTCCCCCATTGTCACACAATTTAGACTCCGACATAACACATCATCACAAATGCCTGACCACTCTCCCACATAGATGTTTGACGCCATTTACGGATTGCCCCTATGCTATTTAAATTAGTATTAGTATGCATATGGACTACAATAATAAAGGTTTTTAAAAGTTGAGAGGCTTCAGACCTAGTGGAAAAAATAAACAAAAGAATGGGCCTTCAATTTGTCTGTAATAAGCCCTGAAATTACTTCATTTAATAAACATAGCTGTCTTATTATATCACTTCTACTCTAGACCGAGGTAAACCAACACTTAGTTACTGAATAAAAATGTAGATTTGTATACCATCGAAAAAAAAAAAAAGGAAAGAAAATTACGTTTACATAATGAAATATGTCGATAATTGAATTTTTTTTACAATTCAGTTTGAAAACTATGAAAATTAAAATGAGTGAGAAAGACTGTGAACATCCACAAAGCAGTTACATTGTTGAGGATGGAAAGAGAAACATCCTGCCATTACATCTTCTTCGTAACCTCAAGTCATTGGTTCGGGATAAATCTATAACAGTTGCTCAGCAAATAATTGAGTCAGAATCAAGCAATCCTGTCTGTGAGGTTTTAACATCTGATTCAAAACAAACCGATGATCAAAGCAACCCATGTACAGACGACAATAAAAGTTCATGTTTGAGTTTGTCTAAAAGTGACTGTGAATGTGCAAGGCCAGCCATTCAGTACGCTAGTCAGGACGTAATAGATAATGGTAATAATTATATTTCATGACAAATTATTTCACACCCCTATCTGCCGCCACTGTCGCCTGGCTATTCATTAACAACATTTTATCTTTTTTTGTTAGTGTCAAGACAAGTTTATATTAAGGGAGATGATGCCAAACCAATAAAACAGGTACAAATTTTTACCCCCAACCCCCTAAAAAACACAACAAATTTAACTCAGTCTTTAAAAAGTATCTATAGGTATCCTCACTTGATATTTAGCATTACTTCATTTGTTTTATGTCATTATCAAATTCTAAAACAGTTTTTGTTATTGAATTATCTGTGCCCATAATTCATTTATTTAACACACTCAAATTAATGAAAATACAAGGGTTATATTCTAACTTTCACGATTTTCTTTACAGTCCAACAATATTGGTAATGCAAGTTATTTAAACATTATAGTCAATGATCTTTGTCATTGCTCCATTTTTTTTTTGGTCTCGTGCTACTAATTCGTTATGTTACCTTTAACCAAGGATTCTAATAACAACAGCCATGCGGACAGAGAGCGTCAGGGAAGGATAAGAAAGGCCGGCGAGATTTCAGGTCTTCCAGAGAAGAAAAGGAAGAGACCAAATTTTTTTGTGGCTGTTCAGATCACTGATGCTGAGGTATTTAATGTATTTGTAATCTGGTATAAAGAAAAGATGATGTGCTGCAACATCAAGAAAATATCTGAATAATATAGAACATTGGCTTTCAACATGTCTGTCATGGCACACTGGTGTGCTGCCAAAGTACACGGGTGTGTTGCAAGATTTAAAAAAAATACAGGAATAAAAATCCAAGTAAAATAGTTATTAGTGGGCATTTTAGTTTTAAAAAATTGGATTCAAATGTCTTAATTCCTTTAATATCATCTAATAATAATTTTCTCTGAGCAGAAAGGTATTCATTTGCCTCATCTCAGAATGTGCCTATTGTAATTAAAATTAAACACTGGGGCTTAAAAAAAAACCTGTCAATTTTGAGTTTCTAGAATTTTCAAATTTAAGGAAAATGCCCCAAACTGCAGGTCCCAAAAACACCACTGATGTAGGGTGATAAACGTTAAATAATCTCTTCAAATATATTATTGAACAATTCCAGATCCACAGTGCAGCCAAATTGGTGCAGTCAGCCATTCAAGACAGCTGCAAATGTGATATCCAAGCTGCCGTTGTCGGGTCAGAAAAATTTCACATCACCCTTATGGTCATGAATTTGTCCAATGAAGAGGAACTGACCAAGTAAGTGTGTTTGTTAACTGACATAGGAATTCAGTTTTTTAACTTATCAAGTAAGTAAGTGTGTTTCTTTACTGATACATGAATTCAATTGTTTGTGGTGTTAACTGACTGGCTTTTTCTAAATGGCATACAAATTGGAGCATGTGAATTCTTTGTTAATTTACGGTTGTTGTGGCAGTGGAAGGAGGTGGGGAAGTCTGGATCCCTGGTATAATGGCTTTAGCTACTCTTGTTAAATAATTTTTATATTTTATTTTATAGCCATATTTGATCTCTTCTTGATTTTTTAAAATTAGTTCATTCCTTAAATTCCTAACAACTCCTCTCTATTTATAATTTAAATTAAATTAAATTAATTACAACAGTGCCATTTTTTTTGTTGAATCTCTTTGTTATTATGCTTTAAATAATGACTCAGACAATGTCAATTCTTCACCCCAGACTGTGTGACGTCGTAATACCGAGACTAATTTATTACTTAGTTTAGGAAGTGCTGATTTTTTTAAATGTTCAAATTGTTTGACATTTAGAGCAACCGATACCTTGGACAATTGTGTCTCACCGATCCTTGAAAGAACGAGTGGTGAGCAAGTGACCCTGCCCATAGAAGGCGTTTCTGCGTTCAATGGAGGCAAAGTGCTCTTTGCCCAAGTGAAACAATCCAGTGGGTTGGACTACTTGCAATTTATGGCCGGTACAACTTTTATGCAGTTGATAGCTTTTTATAACAATAACAAGTTAATTGTCCATTGGTGGGAGTGCTATAATTGTAACAGTTATTTACCCATTTGGGTCAGTGCTATAACAGCAACAAGTTATTTATGAATAGCACATATAACATGCCTGACCCATCACATGCCTGACTAAAAATCACTGGACAATTTGACTTTCAGGACTTAGCTAGATAACTAGACTTATTTTGACCCAACTTTTTCGTGTTTTCTTTGTTGCATTATTTATCTTTTATTCTTCCTTCAAATTTTCCTTAAGCATAACTCATTGTTTGTGTGTGTTTATTGCATTATCTCTCGATCATCATTTATGTTAGCATTAGACATTTAAAAAAAATATAATCTATTACCAATTAATGTTAGTTATTACCATTAATGTAAGCTATTACCAAAGCTTCAATTTTTTTTTAACTGTCCTAAATTTTGATCTATTTAGAATTTTCTTCTATTGAAAATATTGGAGAATTTGAAAAAAAGTCTTTCTTACAACTACCGGAATGCCCCTAAATTGTTCTATGTAACACACAATCAATAATGTCTTTTTATCTGATAAATATATATGATTTGGTAGATGAAGTTGACAGACAGATGGAAGAGAATGGAATATCCTCCACAGATATCCCCAAACGACCCTTCCAACCTCACATGACTTTACTCAAGTTTGGTCAGAAAAGAGATTTATATAAAAAAGGTGCATCTTTGAAGCTCTGTAGCAAATTTTATTTTATTTTTTAAGGTCCCTCAAATTTTCTCTGTTATAATTGTAGGCAAATGATAAAAAAGATATCTAACTAGAAACTAAAAAGATATCTTACTAGAAACTAATTATGAAACAAATTATGAAACAAGTATTATAGATTTATTAACTAAGGGAATGAGTATTGTAATTTAAATACCGAGGAGAGGAAAAAAATTAAATTGAGCTGATATGCTTGTATAAATTAAATTTATTACACCATTTATTAAATAGCTATAGAAAAAAAAGAAGAGAAAAACCTTGATATTCTAAACAAGTTACATATTAGGTTTGCAAAAAGCTTATGGAACTTCCACCTACTTTAGGTTCCATTTATTTAACTCAACTATTTCATGCTCTATAAATCAACTAAATAATTCGATGACTTGTACTAAATAAGATTGCAGTTTAACTAAGCATCTTCAAATTGGATGTATAATTTTTATCAAATAGGTTAAGATATTTATCAAATGAAATAAAGATTATTCTGTCCAAATAATGATGACTACTTTTTGTGTGCACCATTACAAAATGTTATACTTTCTCTCCAAACAAAAGGTGTCAGAAAGGTTTCATCAGATCAGTATGAACCATTTGTAAACCAGGTATTTGGGTCACAGGTCATCACCAGCCTGCAGCTCTGCTGCATGGACAAGCGTCGAGAAGATGGCTATTATTTTGTCAACCACGAGGTGCCTCTGAAAGTGATGCAGGATGGCTAAGAGACTTGTGCCCAGAGGCTTTTTCTCAATTCATGAACAACTTTACAGAGCATGTGTCCATACAAGTGAAATTGTAATGTGATACTGAGTGTTAAAATTTATTTTAGAACCTGGGCCATTCCTCCTCCCCCAACTATCACCTTGCTAATGTCAGGGAGTGTTAACATGGGTTTGTGCTGTTTATTTTTTAACATTTGTATTGAAAATAAAAAACTACCTTGACCTACTCACTAAAGGGTGGTGGTCTTGAAGTAAAATATTTTTAAGAATGATGGGTGATTATACCTGTGCAATTCAAGTAACTGGAATGCACTAATTCACCAATTATAATTAATGAAATCTGAATTAAACAAAGATTTCATGGGCTCATTTTTCACTAGACTCAGTGTGTCAGTGATGCAATAGTTATTACATTTACCTTGCTCACTAATCAAAGTCTGATTCTGGGGATGAAAAATTAAACCCTTTATTCAGTTCTCAGTTTCAATGGTCATTATTCTCAAGTTTATTAATTTTTAAATTTGTCTAATGACAAAAATACAGATAACCTATGAGCCCCCCCAAAAAAGTTACAAAGCTATTTCTTGTGTGATAAAATAAAAATTTGTTGTGATTTGAAAATTCTTTGTGTTTTTTGTATTTAATTCAAAATTTAAGTGTTCTATAGATTGAATTCAATGTTATCACAAGAAATTTCAATCTTTCTATATAATGTGTTATCGGGACTAACTTTAAGGATAACAATACTGTATAAATCACTGTGCTAAATTTTTTTAACTTGTAGGAGCTGTCATCTCATGTTTAAGACTTGTAAATGTAAATAATCCATTCCTTAAGTATGTAAACTTTGTGCCTTACATTTCTTAAAGTTTAAACTTAAACAAAATACTACTGTGTTGTTCGTAGCATTTTGAAGTATTGTAATAGTATCCAGAAGCTAACCAAAATACTCACTACAGTGTTTTGCTTAGCATTTTGAAATATTGTAGTAGTACCCACTTTTTCTGGTCAACTTGACTGGTAATTCAGTAATTAGTTATTTAAATATCTGTAATTGAATGACCTCATCAACATATTTTAATTTTATTTAAATAATTTTAAGCTTGGTGTCTTAATTCAATTAAAAAAACAAACAAAACTAAGACTTGTTGGGAGATCTGTGTAATCTAACTGATTATTTAAAACCACACAGCATTAATTTAAAGGAATTATTTTATTGTGATGACCTTTCTCTGGATATAGAAAATCATTGAATGTAGGCCCAGCTTAGACATACAACTAGTAAATAAATAGTGGGACAAGATACTGGTATATTTATGCTTGGGGAAAAAAAAAGACAGGACAAATACACACAATTTTTGGCTAAATGCTTTTTTCAGCAGACAAGACAAAACAAGAAGTAATGAATAGGAAATAAAACATAGAAATTGGTTTTCGTCTGAGAGAACCACATTGAGATCAGAATATTCCAGCACGTAAGTTTTAAATTTCTGCTTTTTTATACTTTACACTTCTTGAACCCAGTCTCTCATATATTTTTCTTGAGGCATACAAGAAAGTACTTTTAAATTTAATAAAATAAGACATTCAAGATGAAACATAATCATAAAAACGTGAAATATTTCTTGACCACTTTTTAAACTACATTTTGCCTACAATATTTGTGGCTTATGTGATGTGATGTTTATAATAATTTTTTTTATAAACGTGTTCTGGAATTAATAATTAATGTACTGTAAAAACTGTAAGTTTATTTCCAAATAAAATGTTCTGTGAAAACATAATTTTATTGTCTATTTTCTTCACATAAATGAAAAATTGTGTTTCTGTGATAATTATTAATTAGTAGGCTAAGTTATACTAAGACTAAGTTATAGGCCCAAACATGGGCGCCCGCAGAAAACTTTCTAGGGGGGGCAAAAAAATCGATTAACTTTTCAGGGGGGGGGGGGGGCAAAAATAGTTTAGTAATGTTTAATTGTGGTTTTAATTTACTGTAGCGTATTTGTATGGTGAAAGAACGGACAGGACATCAGCTTAGTTACTTTCTCTTTATTTTCTCTTTACTTNCCAAGGGGGGGGGGGGCAAACGCCCCCCTTCCCCCCCCCCCCTTGCGGGTGCCCATGGACCCAACCTTAAAAAATGTGCAGAACAAAAAAGTTGTAGAAATTTTGCGAAGATGAGTCTGTCCATGTGACAAGATGTTAACCTGTTATCCCGGTTCGGACCTAGAACTAAATCTTTTCCCATTACTAGACTCTATCCGTTTTTCATATTAAATTATTTTAATTTTTTTTGTTGCTGAAATTGATCACTTTTTAAAGTTGAAACTATAATTCTACTACAACGCGCCTGCGCACAAATAATACCGGAAATGGGTTATCAAAGAAAACAGAAGATTTAGGCTTAGGGATCGAATTAATAATTATCATAAACATAACGAAATCCTGTGTTATTTCGTTTTAACTCATAACTTGTGTCATGCTTATATGAAAGTGCCAATATGAATTTAGGCAGCACCTGTTTTACAAAATGTTTATTTACAACAGTATTTTTTATTCAAGTAATTTTGCTTACAGTAACAGGTAAATAATACAATTCTGATCAATTCACTGATTCACTATCTATAACTTCACTCAGTAATAACTGAGTATAGTCTGGTATGAGTAGACTATGACTGACTATTATTATTATCGACAATTTACAAACAACTCGGCTGGGCCTACTAAGCCTACTGCCAATTATTTGCTACTTTACTGCTGAACTCCGAACTGCTCACTACTAATGACACTGACTATAACTATAGTATAGTCAGTGTCATTAGTCATTAGTCTATTCTATACCATGCTTAAATTACTCACTTTTTATAATTTTAAAGTTTTTAGTTTTTACTCTACCAACTACCCCAGCTTCTAAATAGTGCTAGACTAGAATATGAGAATACGACTATACTATAACTATATGAATGATATACTATATGATATATATATATATATACTATATGATATAGGCAGTGTCTACACGTCCGGCGTGCCGGACGTCTATCTCCCGCACTATGTGTCCGGCGACCAAGTCACATGACCGCCGTAACAAAGTGGCGAGAGATATCGTGTCGGTCAGCCTTGTCACGTGACTGCGAATAATTCAAAACTATTGTTAATTTTAAAATCTATTTCTCTACCAAGTAATGTACTGAGTATCTTGAATGCAAATAATAGAAAAAGAAACTTAAGTGAAAGTGGCTTGTAAACATTTTTGTTTAGTTTGTTATTTTTTGTGTACCAGTAATCCATAAAATAAATTAGGGGCCAGTGCGGCAACCAATAAAAGTTAAAGATTTCATTTTAGATTATTTCAATTGCTACAAAATATTTAAAAACTTCTCATGAAACTACTGTTGCTGAGGAACATGATAATATAAATATATACAAAATATTTAAATTAAAATGGGAAGAAAAAAAACGACCCTATCCCCGGTATAGATCCTCAAACATTCCTATCGTCAAGCAACCACTCTACCACAAGACCAGACAAGATGTACTAAATCTTACTTCGTTTGGAATTATAAAAACTACTAGCCGTCCGGCCATGTCCGGCGGTCACGTGACAAGTCGCCGGACGTGTATCTTGCGCACTACACGTCCGGCGCGCCGGACGTGTAGACACTTCGTATGATATATGGCTATAATATAATCAATAGTAGTTAATAGACAAAGTTGTCTATAAATAGTTTACTACCAATTATCAATAAATTCTAGGGATTTGTTTGTAGTAAACTACCAATAGCTCTCTAGTGACTCTAGAAGCCAATCAAACCAAAATCAATCATTCAATGATCAATGACACTGGCGAAGTATTGCCTCATTAATTTATTACTAGTTCGTACTAGTGACAACAACTTGGCTCAATAATCAATCCTGAAAGATTCCTAAACACCTACATCATACATCACTTGCCTCATCTTTCATGATTCCAAAATAACTAAACTATCCAAATTATTGTTAATTTTAAAATCAAATGCTAGACATTATAATGCCCACCTAAATAATTCAGCTACAAATCAAATAAAACATAATCTAATGCATTTTGCTGCAGACTATGTTGCTCAACAATATTCATATTCTTTTGATAAAATTGAGTTTTATCTACTGGTGCCAACAAAAAATCTGTTGAAACATAAAGTAGTAAAAAAGTTTTTATTTATTCTGCAAACATGTAATGTTAGAAAGCAGAATGGTCATTTCATTTATGAAAAATTATACCCAGCTTCTTATTTGCCAAAGTAATATGTGCACATCTGGATAATAAAATCTTGCTGAGAAATAATTTTTATTGAACTATTTTTGGTGTGCTAATCATTATGATTAAACTTATTAATTAAAATATAGGCCTAAATATGCCCATAATTACCATAATAATAATCTTACTGCATACAGAAGCTTGGCCAATCTCTGTTTTGGAACATGGTCACACGACCCCCCTGACCCACCCCCCATTGATTTTATGGTGGGAGATTAGGCCTACGGAGTATTATTTACCCATGAGCACTCATTAACTTATAAACACAGCATGATATTTAAAACAAACTAAGCGATCTTTAAGAACTATCTAAACGATTTTTAAGACCAAACTAAATGATCTTTAAGAACAAAACAAATGATCTTTAATAGTAAACTAAATGATTTATAAGAATAAACTGAGCGATCTTTAACAGAAAACTAAATGCTCTTAAGGATCAAACTAAAAGATCTTTAAGAACAAACTAATCCATCTTAAGGAAAAAAATCAATTATCTTTAAGAACAAACTAAGCGATCTTTGTGAAAAACTAAGCGATCTTTAACAACAAACTAAGTGATCTTTAACAACAAACCAGGCGATCTTTATGAACAAACTAACCGATCTTTAAGAAAAAATAAAGCGATCATTAACAAAAACTGGACGATCTTAAACAACAAATTAAGCGATCAATAACAACCAACTAAACGATCTTTAAAAACAAATTATTTAAAAACAAATTAAACGATATTTTAGAACCCCAATTTTTAGAGACCCGGTTTAAAAAAATAATACTTTTCATTAATTCCCCCCCCCCCCCTCAATTTTTGCCAAATTTTTTCCTAACATACTAATTAACAAAAATTGTAACACAATTTAAATTACTTTTGTATTAAAATGGTAAAATCCAAAGTATTCATTAGATCAAGGGTCTCAAACTCAAACTCAAATCACCAGGGGGGGAGGGGGCCGCAGGAGGTTGTGTCTGAATGAGAGTGGGCAGCATCAAGTAATCCACAAAAAAGCGACTACAACTGTTACAATCTGCTCAACCTTTATAAATAACAATAAAATCATTAAGGGTTCCCAAGAACTAGGATTCACTTTCATCCACCTACTCACTGTTGCATTAAAAAATATATAGAAACATTACAAATAAAAAACAAAAAACAACAGAATTAGACTAGTCGGTGAGATTCGACTGACACCGTCGCGGAGAGTCACGCTATAGCTATGAGAATGGGTGAAACGGGCCGGCGCATTTACACTAAACTTTTCTGTCATGTAGCGGGCCGCAAAATATCGTCTTCCGGGTCACAAATGGCTCGCGGGCCGCGAGTTTGAGACCCCTATATCTCATTTTTATAAAAAGAATGTAAATATTTATACTTTCCCACATCATTTTCGATGTATGCGGGAACGAATTTCAAAATATCTAAATATTTCATTTTCGGTTTCGGTCGACATTCCTTTTTAACTTTCGGCCTTTTTTCGGTTTCGGCCGAAAGTCATTTTTAAACTTTCGGCCATTTTTCGGTTTCGGCCGAAAGTCATTTTAAACTTTCGGCCTATTTTCGGCTTCGGCCGAAATCAGAAAATCACTTTCGGTTGGCCTCTAACTCAGTTAATAATATTTTCTTGAACAGCATTTCATTGATGATTTCATTCTGAACATTTTTCCACAATAGTGACTATGAGTCTCTTTAGACTCAACTCAACGTTGATGTTCATTCATTGTTTAAACTGAATTTTCCAAGTAGCTCAACAAGACCTAAAATTTTTTTTGAGTGGTGTCAATAATGTGTTCCTCTAAGAGCCAAATTTTGTTCAGCTAAAAATTGAGTGATGCTCATTAAACATTCTAAAACTTGACGCCAATATTCACATTCTTTTTCCACTTGTGACTGAAGCTCCTTATCAATAGCTTTATTAGTCTGTAATTGCAATGATGTTTCAAACCATTTAAGTTATATCATTATAAATGGCATAAAATAAAAAAATACAAGAATTTTCATTAGGGACTGATGTATTTTATATGTAAAAGGGAGATGGCAGATGACAAACAGGCTTATTTTACTAGTCATTTAGCAAATCTCAACTGTTAGATTTTGATTTATGTTTTTATGCAATAGTGAATAAATTACTAAATTATTGCAAAGAGAGATAATTAAATTACTTACAGAGTGAAATAAATTACACAAATCACGTTGATAATCAATTTACTTTAATCTATCATTGATAATGGATTTATTGAACTAAACTTGGAAAATGGAGGGATCACACCGCGTTTTTTCGCTCTAAGGCACTGAAGATACACTGTTCAGCACAATTCAAAATTTGATTCCAAACTCCGGTGATCGGCATATTCAAACTTGCCACCTCCTCGGCAATAGGTCTACAAACGCCCCCACCACCAAACAACCAAATTTGCAGAAAAAAAGAGTTCTACTGATAAACAATAGGTTGACAAACCTTTTTCTTGAATCTTTTTTTTCAATTCTTTAAT